TGTGCGAAGTCTATACCAGCTGGAGCCATAATCAGCGTAGGAAACCGCAAGCGCGGGGTCAACGCAGTACCATCGAAATTAGAGCCAAATGTGCTAGTTTTAGAATAAACTGCGCCACCCTCAACGTCACACATTCGCACGGGAACCGGCGAATTTGCGCGGCTCTCGAGTGGAATTTCAGGAGATGGGCGATCGTTTCGCGACTTTTTGAGTGCTCTCTGACCTTTGCAAGTGCATGGAAAAAGAGCTAATGTTATATAAACACTACAGTAACTAGGAATACGTTTATCGCAAGAACCACGCGAGGCTGTAATGAGCCAGCAGTAAGACTTAAGGGAAACGAGAAAAAACAAAACCAAAAAATTATACAACAAAGAAAAAACAGTCAAGCCCAGGGTCGAACCAGGACCCTTAGCATGGACGTTCGGCTCCTAGACCACTGCGCAACGCTGCCAATGACGAAGATAAGTGGGAAAATTATTATATCTAAAGTACAGTAGAACCTCCCGTAAGCGACCACCCAAAATGTAGACTTATTGGTCGCTTATGGGAGTTAGTCGCTTACAAGAATCGAACCACAGGCTGGAACCACGGAGGGCATCTTCCGAGAAGAGTTCTGGGCACATCTACTTTATGGAAGATAACTTATTGCATTCAATTTCTAAGTTATTCCATGTGTAGTTCCAAGTTGTTACTAAAGTTCTTCGCATATGCTAAGTAGGATAAGATCAGAGAATGTCAAATGGTAACTTACTAGAGGTTAAAAACAATGCAAAATATTTAAACTTTCAGGCCCAAAAAGTTGACGCAGTCGCTTACAGGAGGTGGTTGTTTACTAGAGGTACCAGCTGTAAGGCTTTGCCTTTAGTGTTTTGGATAGGCGGTCGCTTATGAGAGGTGGTCGCACATAGAGGTTTGGGTGTATTATTTCCGTGAAATTCTGCCGGTAGACGCCGTATTGATCATGAATTCAGTGATATATTTGAGGAATATTAGCCATGAATATTTGTTGTTATTGTTGTTGTGAACTTTCTGCCCTCCTCTTCCCGATCTTTCCCCTCACGTTTTATGTTTTTTTCGTTTCATCCGAACAAGATATTCATCGCACGTCATCTCCGACATCTCTTCGTCACTGGATTTGTCAAAAAAAAAAAAAAATGCCGGATTAGGAATAGCATAAGCGGTATTGGCAATTACCTTGATTAAAGATGAAGAGTAAAGAGTAACATTCACAGTCCTCACATTTAGAGTTATCGTATTTATTCGAATAAGTGCCCAACCTTGAGTAAGCGCCTATCCTAAAGGCAAAAAAAGTTAATAAGCGCCCACCCCCACCTCACCCCTCCCCCTCCCACTCAAACTCAAATAAGCTGTATCTGCTTCTCGGGCGACTTACCCAATTGCCGACGTTACGATGTCAGACATCGAGGAGGCAGCACCAGAGAATTCACTTATTGACTTGAGTGACAATGAGATTGAAATTGAAATTGAATAAGCCAAGAGACTTACTTGTTCATAATTTCGTAGTAAGCAAAGGCAATTCTACCACAGAAGCGCCTTCCTTGTCTCCCTCCGCTTTTGCCAAGCACACGCACACAACCATTTGGCTAAACACCATAAGTAGATACTTTGAAATGCCATTCCCGAGCCAAAGGTCTCTCCAATATAGGCAAATTAATATATATCTCGTACGTAAACGACAGCAGATTAATCCCCGAAGCGCTTTCTGAGCTTCCCGAATCCTCTCCTATTCCTTTCACGCTTGGAAAACTGGCAAAAATCACAAGGAGCAAGATATACCTGTTTTCAGAGGCCATTTGACGAGCTCAAATCTGCTTTTTGTTAGACGTTTTACATATTAAAACAAAGGAAATTTGTTCCTCTCTTTGATTTTGGCGAAATTTTGGCGGTACATTTTCAATTTGCGCTTGCGTAAAAGAGTCATCGCCCAAGATCCCTCGCTCAGTCGTATTTTGTTCACAAACGCCTTGTTAATTTTGATCGAACCGCTCGGGAAAATTGAAAAATGACGAGGGAAAAACTTTACTTTGGAGTTTGAAAATTAGCAAAATGGAAAGCCCTTGTATCATAGTTTAATATTTCAGTGGTACATTGAGTACTTTTAGTGCACAGAATCAGCACGACGATAAAACATCCCAAAATCGCACTCGATTTTAGTGAGGCGCCGAAAGGGGCGTGGTCGCAAAATTCAATTACAGACTATTTGTACCCCTTGAGTTTCATATGAGGTCTCGACTCAAATTTAGAGGAGGCAATGATGACAGAAATGGAATCTATTCAATTTTTAAATAAAAAATCTGTATCTGAATCTGAATCATCTCCTACGGAGGTAACTTCCCACGCCGTTTTGTTTGTTCGTCCCTTGCCCGGCGCCCACGCAAAAAAAGAGGGCGAGTGTCACACGAGATGGCACTATTTGTGCTAAAAATAGCACATATGGCTAGTTCGATGGAATCAGCCCCTTTATTGGAAAATGGCATGCACTTACGGTCTCCTACCCTGATTATGGCTCCTGGTCTATACACGTTTTCAGACCGAAACAGCGCAAAAAACATACCCTTTGGGGCGGCACATATGGCTTGTATAAGGGAGTACCATCCGCCGGGCTGTATAATTCCCCAACGGGAACAAGTACATGTGTACTTATAAATGACTTTCCTTGTCGGAGAGGAATATTTGATGCGACGAGTGTTTTATTTATTTATTTTTTATTTTATTTATTTTTTGGCAGTGACATGACTATAAAATTGAAGCTTTATTTCAAGATTCTTTTTAGGTGCGAGCAAAATTTAAGTGAGGAAAGTAAGATGTTCCCCATGTACCCTACAGAAGAGACCACCTTCGGATTGTCCCGAAATGAAAATGTTCCTTTGGGGCCGTGGAGAGAAATCCTTCCATTTGGTCAGCGGGCAGGCGAGAGAAAACAAGGTAAAAGAGAGGACACTGGGTACGAGATTGCAGTGAGCAAGGAGTTTTTCTTTGCGGTTTCGACTGCGGTTTCAACTGCTCTTTGAGGGGATAGAGATTTACCAGTGTTTTAAAGCCAAAAGAATATAAAGGTTTGTCCATTATGACCCCTGTGTTTTTACTTATTTGGAAAGAAACGCTTGGTTTCATTTACAGGTCAAAGATTAGTTTCAGGGTCACTTGAGTTTCAGGGAGACGCACTGTTGCTTTTTTCCAGTTATTCGAGAATTTTCCTGTAGACCCAATGTCTCGTAAATTCTTATAAATACACAGCTAACATGACAAATTCACAATGTTTTTAACTTTAATTAACAAAGCTTTACAATTATTTAGCGTGGCTTAACTACAGAATACAGGGCAAATTTTCTAGATATATTCGTTGAGGTGGCTCGGTGGCTCGGTAGTCCCGACTGACGAGCCACCGAGCCGTCGAGCCACTAAACTATATAACCTCGACTGAAGAGCCATCGAGCCGCCGAGCCACTAAAATATATACCTATAATCTGCTATAATACATACTAAAATATATGCCTTCTATGTCTGTCTTATACTTATATGTGTTATGTCTTTCTCGTTCTTTAAACACTTGTCATGACTAGCGAGCCACCGAGCTACGGGAAGACAAGGGAAGACAATCTTTAAAGTTACTACAGCCTTACTACAGACAATAATGCATAGGTCAGTGGAAGGCCACGCATCCCACTACCCGAGGAATAGCGGGGCATTAGACCGGGCCTGTCTTCTAAGGCCCGGTTCAGACACCGAACTTTTCATGAGCTGAACCCAATTCAAACTATTTGGACCGACTGAATTGATTCGGACGCTGATCTTAATTGCAGCTAAACAATAAATGCTCATTTTGGTCAAACTGCTTACAAAATACGTTATAATTTATGCATTAGGCTTGGTACATGAAAAGCTCGGCGTCTGAATCAAAGCCGTTCCAAAGTCACTCAAAGTTGAAATTCCCGGCCGGGCTGGGCGAAAAGAACGGCTAAGCCGTTCCAAATTGAAACAGGCGTTTCTAGTTGATTCAGACGCCGAACTTTTCATGAACTTAATTCAATGTATTAGGTTCGGCTCATGAAAAATTCGGTGTCTGAACCGGGCGTTAGTTAAGTAAATTCCCCACTATGCGGAGAAATTTTGTACGTCAAAATGTCACGTTTATTTCCTGACCCGCGTGGCAATGTAGTACTACTTTAAAAATCACAAAATAATGTGCAATGTTGCCTAAATTAAGTTTAAGAATTTTGGCCCCGAATTGAACTTTTACAAAAGTAATAGTTAATTTAATGCACTTCTTACACAGTCAAAATTCAGTCAAAATTGTAAAGATGAGATATTAGTCATTATTTTTAATATCAATTCATTAAATATCTTTATTATTCATTCAAAATATTTCCTCAGTTCTGATAGGCTAAAAGCACACTCATACAGACGTTTGACTCATTTCAAGAGTAAGAACTACAGCTGAAACTAGGTGAAATAATAGCTATTAAAAAACATGGCAAAAATAGCAAGAAGACAACTCGGAGGGCGACGCTTTTTGGAGCAAACATCGATGCAGGTAAGCATGTTTTAGCTATGTTTTTAAACTAGGAATTATTTTGAATGAATAATAAAGCAATTAATGAATTCGGCTTTTGGAGGATATGAAGAATTATTTCTTCATATCCTACTCATCCTCTTTCATTAATTGATAAATAATATATATTAATGTAAAAACTGGAACTGGACAACTGATTAAAAAAAAAAAAACTGGAAACTGCAGCCATTTTGAAAAACATTAACGATTGGTAGTAATAATTATTGATGTGAAGTATATATGAAATAATTCATTTTTAGAAGACCTTAATTATTTAGTAATAATTATTATTCAGAAATCAAAACTCAATTATTGAGTTTGCCAAGCTTTCCTGTTCAGTTAAGGAGTATCGAGTGAGAGATGAGCTAGTTGAGTTGATCATGATACCCGTATTATAAAATTTATACGCCAATTCACTGCATGTTCAAATGTTTAGCATTTCATCATCATCTTCATCATTATGGTGTTGACCTTCTGTCCAGTATTTGTGGTTTCTATAAAAAATCCCATTTCTGTTATTTACAGCATCACCCTGAGGGGCATGGGTTACCGGTACTTTACAGCACTTGTAGCACATGTAGATTATCACCACAATGGCTGAAGCAAGGAGCAAGGCTAGTACTAGACAGCCAATTTTCCAAGCTTTGTTGGAACTTGAGTGGCCTGCAGGATGGGAGGGAAAAAAAAGGAAAAGAAGAGTGCAATGGTATTAATTCATTTAATTTATAGTAAAAGGTAATAATTATCATTCTTTGATTCTCATGGAAAAACTACAACCCATGACAAACCGTTTTCTTTTAATTAAGTAATGACAATGTTATAATGTGCTAATCGAATGACCACATGTTTTGGTGCAGTTAGACCAGGTATCCCAGGTGCAGGCCATCAATTAGTGATACAGAAAATGACTTGTGCATTATGTAGATGTCTTATTATTATTATTATTATTACATCAATTTTATCATTTTAAATCTTTATCTTTCATAATGAAATTTGGTAATCCCAGTGAGGTTCCACAATAACGTAAAAGCCCCAATTGCAGAAGAAAGCAAAACTCTGTAAGATTCTGGTAGTAGTAGTCAAAAGACAGGTCATCATGCAAATTGCTCACTCAAGTTCTCTTCAATAGCTTTTAATACCTTAATAGTCAAATCTAAAAATACGATTCCATTTCAATAACTTGAAATAAAATGTTTTTAACAGCTAGCCATAAACATTATTTAATACGCTCTAGACATTCAATTCATCCATAACACACTAATACACAATTGTACCTGGACAAGTTTGAACCAGACAAACTTCTGCTTCAAATGGTTTACCATCACATGTTACTCCACCAAAGGCAGGATGAGAATTACCACACATGCGTTCACGAGTGCTTATCCCATGACCACATGTTTTGGTACAGCTAGACCAGGTACCCCAGTTGGACCACTGTCCATCAACTATGTGATGAGAATAGAACATTGATGCAGTGCAGATGTCCTTTTTTTTCTTTTGTTATGGAATTAATTTTTTATGACTAGTCGATTTAAATGTTCTTAAACCATAGCAAGTCTTAACGTCTTAATGATGCTGACAGTTTCGATGACTGTCAGCCATCTTTATCAAAACTCGAAAAACATTAAAAGGTTAGAAGCCTTAAATAGGCTTCTGAAGGTGTTAATTATTGCGATAAACGCTCAAAGTCACTCTGGAGACGCCCCCTCCCCCCTGGTTTTGGGGTGGAGATCACTTGTGTCCATCTGGGAGAAAGCTGATAGATGCTCCCTCATCCCTGTTCATAGTAGGAATGTTCAATCTAATACATATGCTTTCCTTGATCCATTACTTAAACTTGTCGCTTTCCTGCTCAATTATTTCACTTGCTTCCCAATTCATAATATATCATTGTTCTGACAGGAACCTGGTCTGTTGTCGCTGATTTATAGTGTTCATTGGTAGAAGCTCTGCAGGTGGATCTTGTGAAATTTCTGTCAGAGATCTTTTCCGCTTCCTTTCTGTGTTCTGTGATCCTGGTTTCCAGCTGTCTCCCTGTTTCACCGATCGATATTTACCTTTTCGCATTGGCTGCATGGAATTTTGTACACCACTCCAGCCTTTTTTTGCTTCTCAACTTTGTCCTCTGGGTGAACTAAAACCTGTCTGAGGGTGGTTTGAGGTTTAACCACTGTGGCTACCCTGTGTTTTCTCCGTGAAAGACTTGGACCCGACATATGGGACAGTCACCACTCCTCTTGATATTTCTTGTGCATAACAGACCACGTTCCTGTCGGAACAATCATATTATGAATTCAAATTGGGAAGCAAGTGAAATAGTTGAGCAGGAAAGCGAAAAGTTTAAGCGATGGATCAAGGAAAGCATATGTATTAGATCGAACACTCCTACTATGAACAGGGATGAGGGAGCCTATCAGCTTTCTCCCATATGGACACAAGTGATCTCTGCCCCCAAACCAGGGGGGGGAGGGGGCGTCTACAGAGTGACTTTGTGTGTTTATTGAAATAATTAACACCTTCAGAAGCCTATTTAAGGCTTCTGACACTTTTAATGTTTTTCAAGTTTTGATAAAAGATGGCTGACAGTCATCGAAACTGTTAGCATCATTAAGACGTTAAGACTGGCTATGTTTTAAGAACATTTAAATCGACTAATTAACTTCACTACGTAGCCTGATGAATTTCTTCAAGAAAGTAATTTTTTTATGGTATTAAATATAATAATAAATGAATATATTGTATAACATGCATTTAGGTACAAAAATATTCTCATTGTTAATCAGGCCCTGGACAGAAATTTACATCTGCAATAAAAGTCTGTCACTTGTGGTTTCTATTTTAGTGATAGCTTCTCTAACAACAACACCACCTTTAACTATTCATCCAGGTACAGTGTATCAGCCTTTTAAATGCAGATAGTTTATTATTGTGCTATCTACTTAAAGGCTACACAGTGTAGTATACACCGTATACCTGGATGTGTAGTTAAAGGTGGTGGGTTGTTGTTGGAGAAGCTATCACCAAAAAAAAAAACCTTACAGACTTTTATTGAAGGTGTAAATGTAAATTGTGCAATGAAATTAAGGCAATGCGAGAATAATATCACGCCACACTTGTCTTGAAGACACACACACACACAAGCTGATAATATAGCCATGTGATCCAAGCCAGCAGTCTGTTTTGCTCCGAACACCTCACTTGACTGTTAACCCATACTGATTTTACAGCAGTTGCCAATGAATTAAACACCAGCCTTTGGAAGGTTTTCTGGACTGTTAGTTGAAAACCGAGTTTACAAGACCATGCAATCAGTTTCAAGACCACAGTCTGAACCAGTGGTAAAAAACCATAGCGCAGAATGTTGTTTTTATTATAAGTCATTGCAAGATAACTTACAAGTGCATCTTAAAGTGTTTTGTCCTGTCCTTCCCTACAAATTATGGACATTTTTTTAGCAGGCTTCTGTATGTAGCTTACCTGACCATGTAGTTGTCATGGCCGGCAGTGTAGTTGGTGGAAAAGCTAGATTTAAAAAAAAATAAATCACACAATTATTTAAGATTAACAGTTATAAGCCTGATTTTTTTATTATTGACCTGAGCATAATGTTAAGGAAATTAGAAAAATTAATATTAATACCTTTTATTAAAACCAGAGGGTTGATACCAAATATCAAGTATCAATGATACCAAATGGTGCCGGTAAAAATGTTTAGTTGACTCAGTTGAACCAGTGATAAAAAAGACCATCAGAGCAGAATGTTGTTTTTATTATAAGTCATTGCAGGAGAATTTACAAATGCATCTTAAAGTGTTCTGTCCTAGCTGTCCTTGCCTACAAATTATGGACATTTGTTTAGCAGGCTTCGATCTGTACATAAGCTTACCTGGCCATGTAGTTGTCCTGGCCGGCAGTGTAGTTGGTGGAGAAGCTATAATTGTTAAAATAAATCACACAATTTTAGATTTAGCATTAACCTGATTTTTTATTATTGACCTGATCGGCTGAGCATAGAATTAAGTAAATTATGAAAATTAATATTAATACCTTTTATATTAAAACCAGACATTTTTTAGCAGGTTTCTGTACATAGCTTACCTGACCATGTAGTTGTTGTGGCCAGCGGTGTAGTTGGTGGAGAAGCTAGAATTAAAAAATAGTAATAATATATCACACAATTTAGATTAGATTTAGCATTAACCTTAGCCTGCAGTGCAGGCGTTTTCTTCGGGTGTGTAAATGTTTTTGCTCGCGAAAGAGGGTATCATCACAACAGAAGTTCAAAATCAATAATACCAAATAGTGCCGGTGCAGAATTATATTTAGTTGGCTCAGGTGAACTTGAAAGAGACGTTGTATATTTGGCAGGCAACTACAATCCCCAAAGTCATTTTAACTAAAAGTTATCATAGTTAAGGTCAATGTGCATGCATAGCTACACTTCAAAGCATATGACAGCTAATAAATGTTTTTTTTTCTTGTTTGTATTTGTTGTTATTATAATTTTGTAACAATAAATTAATATAATTATAATGGTTAGCTGAGGAATGATTAGAAAAATTTTTTTTTTCCCATTTTTCCCTTTTAGACCATGGGCAAGGGAAGGTAAAGATGCAATAAATTTGAAGTTCAGCTGTTTTAACCTGTAAGTAAAAATAAAGCCCTTTTCTCAATTTCTATGCTAATATTGTATTCAAACTTTCTTCTTCAGCCTATTTAAAATTTAATGTACAGACTGTAAATACTCATCCTTCATTCTGTTGTTCATTCAGTCCTGCCTCAGTAATACCCTGGGGAAGCTGAATTAGCACTGCGCGCAGTTACTATTTATAGACCCAAAACTCAGACAAATTTAGTGAATTCCTCATGTCATTAAAACGAGAAAATTGACAAAACTCAGACAAAAATAAACCACTGCAAATTTTATAGTCACTCTGATGTCATTTGCGTGCTATGCTATTGAAATCCCTACCTTGCATTTTCATCAGTTAAGATGAATAATACCAGATATACCTGACTGAAAAAGTGTTGTCGCTTAAAACTTAGGTATAAACCATGAAAGACGAGGCTTCAAGGATTTATGGGTATACTTTCATTAGCAAAGCAAGTTCCGTCTTTCAACGAAAGTTTACATAATTATTTGTCATGAGCTGTTCGAGTGGATGCAAGTCCTTACAGTACTTTGTTTAAGGCATGCTGTTGTCCCGGGGAGGGGGGGGGGGAGTACTTTAGGAATTTCTGGGTGGGGATGTGCTGGTGGGACCCTAAAACCCTTAAGCTATACCAGTGCTAGTTCAGCTGAATTTTGCTACTCTATACTGAGAGTAAACTCCACAAATCCCCCCTATTCTGGAGTAGCTGTTTTCTAGAAACCACTGAGGTCACTAGCACAGTCTAGCCAAAACAAAACCTTATACCACAGTCCCTAGTCTAGATAGAATCCTCAACCAACTGATCAGTTTCCTGAAAAATGATACCCTATTCTAGACCCAAACGCTCTGATTTATATACCCTATCCTAGAGTAAACTGCTTGAAAACCATACCCTTCACAGCGGCACATACCTATATAGCCCCCCCCCCCGGGGGCTGTTGTCTTTTTAATATCTTTTAAGAACGCTTTTAGGTCCTGTCTTAATAATTTATAATTTTCAATAGGCTGCTAAACGGGCATGGGGTAATCTTGCACACAGAGCTCTTGTTTACGAAGCTGAAGGCAACATCTGGTCAAGTAAGAAAACTCAGTTTTTTTGATTCGTCAGATTGTGAGTGAATGATGTGATTGTTGTCTACTGTCTGTGCGTGCTATGGCGTGGGCAATTACATTCTTTGCAAAGCCTTCAGTAAGTAATCAAATAAATATTTTCACTGAAGAAGTAGTTTTCCTTCTCAATATAACTTGACAACTTAATATTTAATATTAATTTTTGAAGTATCACTATATTTAATTACCTTCCTTTGAATCATCCAAGAGGGTTAAAATGTAGTGTATTCCTTCTGGTTTGAGATCAACCGATTCCCAGGTGGAGACACTGCATCTGTATATAAATCATGTGAAAGATTTCAGGTATATTAAATTTTAGTAACAGTTTAATACTGTACATAATTTTTCGCACGTATGATACAAAGCACATAAAAAAATACATCGAAAGAAACCAATTGCTACAATCATTTCAAAAGGGGACTGTTCTACAGGGATGTATAGGGTTATGAAGTCAGCGTCACAATCATTATGAATATTAACTCTTAAAATACTAAGAGTAATGATCATGATCACTTTTCTCCAGCTAGCACCAATACACCATTATAAGAAAAATTAATTTCAATAATAAAGTTCAATTAAGTTCAATAATTATCAGTTTATGACTATATTCTGGCCCGTGCTGTCTTATTTGAAACAAAAAAGTAATTCACGATCGAGCTCTGTTACTTCGATCTTGAATCAGATTTTTAAAATACAGCTGTTACATAATTCACTTCTCTGAAATCATTCTTAAGTGCCCATTAATGTGAAATCTCTAAATTACAAAATGTTTTCTTGATACCTGCATTCTGTTCCGATGTCTTCCTCTATCACTTTGCCTAATTTAAGGAAAATGTGATTTGGTCCATATAAGGTGTATCTTGAATCGTTGGCAAATGACTTAATGTGCCAACTGCAGTTGGCCTGACTGTTCGATCTATCTATCCCCAGAATAGAAGTCCAATTGTCATGCTTAGGGTTGTACACCGACCAAAGTGCTTCTCTAACAGAAGAAAGTTCACTGTGTAAAGGATAACACAACAGATACGCAGTTCCTCCCAGCCTCACTGGCCATGGCACAGGATTCGACGGCCCAGTAGCTTCTAGACAAGATATAATTATGAATAATTACACCCTACAGTCAATACATTTATACCGTTGTTAAAACAAATTATTTAAAAGGTATTTCTATACGGTATTTCAAATTTTTAACGATAAAGAAAGAAAACAACAAACAAAAGACGACAAGAAGAAACTTGAATGGTGAATACTTTGCCCAGGGATGGTAATTTGTCATTTATTTATTCACCTAAGGTAGATTAGAAACTTTGTAGCAATAGTCAGTCATTCGCAACTGCATGAATGACCTCCGAATATCATTTTGTTAATGCCCGTTGTACGACAAGTGAAATTACTCCTAAGCCAAGCGAAATGTTAAATTCAGACTTCAGCAACGTTACCATGCTCCCCTACCGAGGAATTTAAACGGTAAATAACTTCAACTTAAGAGATAAACATGAATGAATTTAAACACTTAACTCGACAAAATTAAAAGTGTGCAAGAAGTTGAGAACAATAGATTACTTCACTATATTGTATAAATATAAATTACATCATGCACTTGATCGGGTGTGTTTACTTGGACACCCGATAAAGCGCCTTTTATCATCTTTATACTGTAGCTGAAATCTAATAATACCCTTTGTATCTACTCGCTGCCAAAGGCAAACCAAAACAAAAACCAAGACATGTTCAAGAACGTTTTTTTTGACGTAAGGAATGATCTTAATTTTGTCATCGTTCATCCTCAATGATAGTATGATTTAGTATGATTGAGTTAGGTTAACTTCTGGGCAATCCTCCGAATTTATAAGCTCACAAATTGAAAACAAATGCCGAGGTGAAAGCTAACCCTTTTATGCTCGAAGCAAAATCGACTTTTAGTGGATTGGATCTTTTCCTTAAGTGATTGTTTACCTTCGAGAACTCAAACCGACCTCGCGCTCGAACTTCTTGCGGCTTTGAACTCGAACGACTTCGTCCATATGTTTTCAAGATTCTTTCTAACAATGATTCAACCACATGAGACAGGAAGCTTGAAGAACATTTCTACTAATAGAATGATAGTTTACCTGTCAACGGTGGACAAATTACTCCCACAGCCACAAAGAGAGATACTACGTAAACTGTCTCCACCATAGTCATTTTTGTTCTGGACACAGGCACGTGATTGTGATGATTATACAGCAAATCAACCACGTTTCCAGGATCCTCTCTACCTAGCAAAATTATCTTGCCAAGTGGGCATGTTTCAGAATTTTAAATATAACGGTTAGTCCTTTGTCGTATTATATAGATGCGTATTTTTCCGGAAATTAAAGTACCCGGTAAAGAAAAAAATGATAAAAAAGGCAACTGTATGGAAAATTGAATAGAGACCCAGTGAAAATGACGCAACGATGGCGCAATGTTTTGCAATTTCCGTCACGCGATATATTTTCGAGAATCGTCGACGTGACACCGAGCTGCATGCCGGTTTTTAAGAGTAAATTGACTGAAAGGTTTAGACTACTTTGTAAAGCCCCAAGGAACTCTTTGCTTAGTTGTTATAATAATTAAATATTCATCTACCTTTGCAACATACATGTAGCGTGAAGAAAAGCTTTTTGTAAAAAAACAATATTCTATTATTTTGTGTGCAATTGTATTTTGGGGGTCATCCACTAGATTAGCCTTTGCTTTTTTGATGATCCCAACTCGCCGCTTATCTAGATACTACAATTTTTATTCTTTACTTATGTAAATGTCTTTTTTTTCAATGTGTCTTCAGATGGTATTTTACTTTCTATGCCAGCTGTTCGATCGAAGACGTTAGGTGATAGAGCTTTTATGGTAGCAGCGCCAAGGCTCTGGAACTCTCTTCCAAAAGAACTTCGTGCGATTACTAATGTGAACAGTTTTAAGGCGCATATTAAGACTTATCTTTTTAAAACTTTATATTGGTGAGCAATTTTATATTCAGTTCTTACTTGCATGCATATGTATTCTTTTTATTTTTTTTTATTTTTTAATGCATTATCTTTTATTTGTTTCTTTTAACGTAATGCAGTTGTAATGCGCAGCTGATCATTCTCATGTTAAGCTGCGCACAATAAGTTCATAAATTATTATTATTATTATTATAATTATATGTGTGGCGATGCCGAGTCTTCATTGGCACAATTGCTAAACAGTACAGTGCAAAATAGTAGAATTCATCGCTTAAGAATGGCCACAAAAAATTTACTCGTGTAATCGGAGCTGAATCAGTGAATTCCAAAACCGCCCATGTCCCCCCCTGGAAAAACCCCCACGCATTTTGACTTTTTTGAAAAATTTTGGTCAAATTCCCCAGTGTGTTGGCAGTTTAGATGGTCAATGCCCTACAAGTTACAATGGAGGACAAAAGAACTTGGGACTGTGCGCAAAAGCCCTTCCAAGCAATAGTTCCGTAGGACTCTGCTCCTAAGGACAATTTTTTGTTCGGCTTCGGGTTCATCCCGTCGTCCCTCCCACTTCCTTTACCAATGTTGTGGCCAAAAAAAGCACTCATTTTCACCCATTTTGCTCCAAATTCAACTTTGTTTGGGGTGGGAGTGGAGGGGTCGCTAGTTTTAGTAATAAACTGGAAAGGTCCCAACACTTTTGACCTCCATTGTAGCACTTCAAAATGTGTCAAATCCCCCACCCACTAGGTATATAAGTAATTGCAGTCGAAGCTCTCTTAAGCGACCACCTCGGAAATTCGAAAAATGGTCGTAACTAGAGCTAGTCGTTTACGAGAATAAGCTCTTCCAGTAAATAAAGACGACGGAAAATAGAGTAATTAGTTGTTTATTTTACCCATCTCTAGTGTTATCGGTAAATAGTCCAGTTTCTAATTCGTTACGGCCGCTGAACAGAAGCACGTAAGACTCATTTGTACAGGGTTAGCCTCGAACTAAGGTAAATATATTCACAAATTCCAGTCAGAAGAAGACCCGTGTACAATTGTGTGTATTGTTTTAAAATCAAAGTCAGGCACCTTCTCGCCAGTGTTTGCGAATATTTTAATTTAGGTCGAGGCTAACCCTGTACAAATGAGTCTTCAGTGCCTCTATAAAATTAGCGGCCGTGACGAATTCGAAACTGGACTATTACAGACTGTTTACGGCAAAAAAGGGTAAGAAAGTTACCCCTTCAAGGACGTTACAAGCAAAGGGCGAGATGTGTACCCTTCAGACGGGCAACTCTGTTATAGTGCCATCAATATCAGTTACGTCCTTGTGCTTGTAAAATTGCCGAATTGCAAGAGAGCTCAATCTCTCATCTGTCGTGGTCCTTCGTAAAACAGTTGCAGTCTCTTCGTACTGCTGAAGCTGTGTATGTTGACACAGGATAAGTCAACAAAGTTATGAGAGCTACATCATACTCCGCGATAAAATTGTAGTTGCTTCTTGGTCAAAAGTCTCAACCAAGGTCTGAGGCTTCACATTCGGATCCATTTCACTCCGCTTAATCAATAAAAGGCTAAAGGGAATCGTAACACAAAATTGCCTCTATAATGCGAAACATTTATCCCAATTTAATGATAAAAAAGCTTTCAGGAAATATAAAAAAATGTATATAATTTTTCTAGATTTCAGCTGCATGCATAGGCGTATGTTGGTACACGCTACATTTCCTGGTAGTAGAAATAGCTGATAGGTTGCTGGGCCAAGCTTCATATGGGTAACATTTTGTTGCTGAAAAAGAACCGCCGTAGCAATTTTTTTTATCTAATTTTGAAGGAAACGTGGAATTTCTTCAGTCATAATATTGGTTGACAACTTTTACATAGAAGGCCATGCAGTCCAGTAGTCTGCTACTCAGCCGTTTTTAGTGTCGTCACGCAACGCCCCTCGCCACTAACGGCTGCTGAAAATCGAACCACATTCCTTTCCCGCGATTGGAATTCAGCTCCCATTTTCTGGAAGGTGTTCGCGCCATGTTTGCGGTATGGTGACTCCTCCAACCACAGCTTTGCTTTTATCGTTGCCCCATGTGCGAATGACAGAACAATCAAAATCGTCGGGTGAAAACAAGCAATCAACTAGAGTAGTGTTGTCGTAGTCGAGACCTTTCAAAATTTTTGAGATAAGCAGCAACAGCAAGCAAGTCGAGCAAATCTGATGCATGGATGTGCTTATAAAGTTGCCGGGTATAGTGTCGGGAAATCGCTTATCGATAATTTATAAGATTGCCTTTGTTTGAGTCAGTACCCTGAGAGTTTAGTCTTCACAGTCTTCACATGTAAAACAACACAACATCCGGCACATGAAATTCATCATACATATGCTCGTTAAAAAGAACCAACCGATCCTAGTAAGAGTCTTGTAGGCCTATCAAACCTTTTTTTATTTCACTTGGAATTTTGTTAACCGCTTAAAACAAACTTTTCTGCAAACAACCTTTTCGTTGCTTGCAGACACAGAGCTCATCAAAATTCAACAACGATTGATTGATTTGTCGAAAACTGAGAAGCGTGTTCGCTCCTAGCGCCCTGAGGCTCACGTATTGTCAAGTTCCATATACATGATTGGTTTGTTCGTTAGACTACAAACACAAAGGGAAAGGAATGTGGCTCGATTTTCAGCAGCCGTTAGTGGGGAGGAGCGTTGCGTGACGACACTAAAAACGGCTGTGTAGCAGACTACCAGTCCAGTGTCTTAATATTTCGACCCCCCTCACATTTTGTGCATTTTTCAAATTGACCCCCCAAAATCAAGCCTCTTAGAAAATTGTACCGCTTCCAAAACCCTCTTCCCCGGGACGTAATAAACGGTCGGTCCCTAACCTTTTGATAGAGGCTGAAAGTCAAGATAATAACCGTGAAAGTTACACATCAATCAAGTTTTAGGGCAGCTGTGTAGTTTGCTTACAGATATATATACCAACACTGCAATGAAAAAGGAACACCAATGAGACGTAGGACTGTAAGTTTACGAGATTTGGGATTATAGGAGATGATCCATCCCACAAACGACTCGCTCATAGGTAATCCTCGCTCTACATGTTTACCTATAGGGAATCTTTGTTTACATTTCCGATCCCTTTATATTATAGCACATTTGCTTCATTAGCGCTTCGCAATTTTTTAATCGAGTTTGTAATACCCGCGAACGCGGTGCACATGCCGCTAACCTTTTTGACACGACGGGGCGAGTTTAAAACACGAAATGGCGAAATGACGTTACTAAACAGTGAGAACAAATGAATCCCTGTTTTATTATTATTTTCTATTATTATTATTATTTTTTGTCTTGTCCAGATGTTATTTCTTTTCCTTATAGGACCGGCAAAACTCTGCTCAGGATGCAAAACCTCACTAACCTTGTTGTTGTCACTTTCTGTTCGTGACTTTAGGAAGTCATGTGATCTTTCTCGTTCCAAGGGTCTCTCCTCTTCCCTAGGGGCTCCCCGGTTTTCAAAATGGTGTCAGTTTCCGCTTCCCAAGGGGAGGGGGAGGGGCGTTGGGGGGATGGTACTCAACCAATATTTGGAATAAGTGACCCGCTGAGGGTTTGACACCTTACCCAGCTTAGGACAAAAAAGCCTTTAATACATGCCCTGTTTAGGACAACACCCTCAATTATATTACGTATTGTTTAGGACAAAGGACAAAATGCACGTCGTCTTGTTAAAGCCATTTATTGGCAATTGCAATTAAGCAAATTCACTTATGAGTTATTGCTTTTGTATACTTGGAGTGCAAACAAATTTCATCAACCATCCAGGAGCTAGAGTAATCGTGCAGGTAGTATCGGAGCTTTCGCGCGAAGCGCGTGCAGCAGAGCACCGTGGGTAAGAAAATGAAGTAATCTACCCATCCGAGAAAATTTGGTAATCACGTGGTCGCACGCCCGACCGACCGTCCGCACCACAGGCATACCGATGCACAGGCGGCCCGGACGTAGTATGTGTCGCTGAATGAATAAATTAATGTTCACGTGGACAAATTAATGCGATGAGTCGTCGAAACTCCCATGAACTAAAATAGTACAAAAGTCAAAATATAACAAAACAAAGCTAAGGTACCTTCAACTGAACGTATCCTTGTCTTTCCTGGCCGGTTTAAGTGGCATTTTGTTGAGTTTGGCAATTGTAGGTACTATCCACTAAAGAAGAATTAAAGGCTGGCT